AAGGCTGACACGGAGGGGAGCGGCGAGCTTTGAAGTAACACCCACAGTGTGGGCAAATGCCAGTATTAGTCCTTTTTCTAATAAAATAAAGCTCTCGATGAGATGGGAAAGCCTTAAAAGCATGTCAGTGCTACGGAATTTGATAAAATAGCAAAATTTAGAGCAAAGGAATTCTCTCTCCTGAGTTGCATGCTAATAGCATACCATGTAGGAGAGAGGCTATAAATAAAAGATTGGATTCATTTAATTTTCAGTAGGATCCGCGCTTCTGGAGTCGCGGAGAGCTGCTCCTGACACAGCGGTACAGAAGTAAACCCAGGGAACGTGGATATCAAGTTCTTCCACTTGGTGCTTGGCTCAGGAACGCTAATGAGGTCTGTGAAAATAGGAAGATGTGCTTGAACAGGCTTTGTACAAGCTAATATTACAAATGCAGTCGGCCTCTCTCCGCTTTTTTTTTTACTTAAGCCATTGTTTTATGTGATTTACTATTAATGGAAAAATGGATTTGCTCTGTTTTAATTAATGAGTGAATTAAAATGTGCTTCATACTTCTCAAACGCATTGCAAATTTATCCAGTTTTGGAAGCGTTTATTTTCTGCTTTTGGTGGCAATGCGGTTGCATGATGCCCCTGAAGATTATTCTGATCCTGAAAGAGTGATGAGCTGCACAAGATTACAGACTTCTGGTGAGAAGAATTATCTTTAACATAGAAGGGACTGGATAAAATCCCTATTTGGGGGATTTCCATGTGTTCATATGCATTGGTTTTTTGATTTTTTTTAAAGTAAAGATGAAAAAATGGAAAACAACAAGCTGCAATTTCAAAGAGTTGATTGTTTTATACTAGAGATTTTTACTGAGCTGACAATAGCCAGTATAAACATTGTAAACATTGTAACCATTGGTAACAATATTTTATGTTTCTAATCTCATATGATCTCACCGTGATATCAAAATCCTTTAGAATAAATTAGTTTGATCCTGGCATGGGTTGGTGCTCTTTCTCCAATCAGCATTTAAGAATGTGCTGCTTTTTATTTGCAGTAAGCTGTCTAACCAGTTTTTTTGCAAGCCTAATGGATTAAATTTTACTTCCCGTTTCCTTAGCAGAGGTGAAGTATCAGAGCGCTTTTTCTGTTGTTTACCTTCGGAGCAGACGGTTCTCGTTCTTCTAGTTCTGTGTAGAGCAGCTAAGAGCCAGGTACACAGCGTCTGCTCGGATACTGTAGTAGTTTCTCTGGGAATTCTAGTCATGTTAAAATACAGCCTACTTTTGTTCACTTTTGGACTCACTTTAACTGGAAAACCTTTTTGGATAAAAGGTAAGCTTTCAGTTTTTGTTACATATTCAGAAAGTTTCTCCAAGTCTTCTTGTACTCTCTGGTCCCGGATCGTAATGATGCACACCTTTCAAATCGAGTCATGGCTCTCCCCAGGTATTAGACTATTAGCTGACCTGCTAATTGAGAAAATCTTGTTCAAGAAAAAGGCATCTGGAAAATATTACAGGTTGAAGCTTTTTATAGTTGAGCTCTTTGTGTTTTTTTCTTCCTGGATGTAGTAGGTATGTAAATACATCATCTTCCGTACAGGACACTGGTTGTGACAACTGTAGTTACTGTCATTCTTCTCATCAATAGTAAAGACTATAGAAAAAGATTTCTTCTTCAGTTATCTGAGGGAAATTCCTACAGTTTTGGTTTATTTTCTCATTACCTCATTTCCATTTATGATTTGGCTTCGCATTTTAGATTTAGATGTAACACCTGAAATATTTCTTAGAAAGTGATATTTTTATGACATGCATTAGACGTTTTCCTGCTTTTGGGTGTCAAAAAATAAATTATTAGAGCTGCATTTCCACTGTTAGTTCAACATACACTTAACTCATGAAACAGAATGGATTTTGTGATTAAAAAATTATTGGAGATTAAGAGCAAAGTCAGAAGTAAATATTGAGTGCTGATATTCTTTGCAGACTTCCACATTTTGATTGCAATGGCAGTCTTTAATGTTAAACATATGCTACCTGCACCTAGCTTTTAAAAATCCTGATGTTATCTAATAGGCAGAGATCATCATTACACTGAAGAATCCTCCTCATTGCTTTGAATGGGGGATTCTGTGGCTTCTTTGCAATTATGAATTCCTTTCACAGAAACGTAGGAGGCTGAGGGTGACTTTGTGCTACTATGAATGAGAAGAAATCTCTTTGTTTCCTTATAAAAGAAAAACTAATGCTTTTGTTATTAAAACCCATGTTATTGTTGATTCCGTAACCTGTTTAAAAGCAATGTTTGTGTCTCTGTTAACCAACATGAATACTCAAACCAGACTGATGAGCAGACAAGACAAAAGAAGATGAATTCAAGTTCAGCCAATTTTAAAAAAACATCACTGGAGATTGTTTTTGTATTTATAAAACCATTTACCTGAAACCAGATACTCAGCAGACTTCTTATCTTTAGCTTCCTGCATTAGCATGATGTTCTGGAGATAATTCTGATATCAAGTAAAGAGCTACAAACTTTTTATGGAGGTTTGGCTGTTGCTGGAACAAACAAAAGGCAGCGTTAGGCAATGGGTGAGCCAAGGTTATGTGCACAGCGGGTGGCAGAATTATATCCAGAGCACAACCAGAAGTATTCCTTATTCAGGGCAAAGGGGAAATGAATACAATTAAAGGGATTTACGTGGGAGGAGAGGGCTGAAGGGGGAGCTGATTTAATCAAGGAAAGGACAGAAGGAAGTAGAAATACGAGCAAGCACAGGGCCTAACAGTAGCTAGGCGGCGATACCACAGCAAATGGCTCTGTAACCAGTAAAAAGCATTCCCCAGTGTATTTAGGGACTGAATTTATTCTTCTGGAGAAACAACATTCTCCAGTTCTCTGTCTAGCAAGTCCTGAAACATCCTGGCAAAGTTGGATCCACCATTCAAAATAATTGTACTACACATCTATCAGCCACTCCTAGAGAGCCCTGCTATAGATTTACAGATCAGCAGAGTCTTCCAGGCACCGATGAGGTGATTTCACACAGCTTGAAGGAACTTAATTCTATGTGAGATGTCAGCATGTCTGGCACAGTTGATTTTAACGGGCCAGGTACTTCAAAAATTACTGTGAGGGGACAGAAGGGTGGACAGAGAAGATAACTGCATGGATTTTCTGTGGCACATTAAGTTAAAAGTGTAAGTCATGGAAGAAATAATGTTTCAAAAATTATAGACAAAGTTACAAAGTTAATAATACAGAGTATGTGAGAATTAACATTGTGTTTAATTCATTTGATAGTTTTTCTCTGTGTGCTCCAGAAGACCCCAGCTTTAATGTTAAGTTACTTTTTTTTAAATCAGTTTGACCATTCCTAAACTATTTCTTCATCACTATTGTCCTGGTTTCAGCTGAGATAGAGTTAATTTTCTTTCTAGCAGCTGGTATAATGCTGTGTTTTGGATTTAGGATGAGAATAATGTTGATAACACACTGATCTTTTAGTTGTTGCCAGGCAGTCAAGAACTTTTCAGCTTCTCATGCCACCCCGCCAGCCAGGAGGCTGGGGTTGCACAAGGAGCTGGGAGGGGACACAGCCAGGACAGCTGACCCAACTGGCCAAAGGGCTGTTCCATACCATATGACATCATGCTCCATATATAACTGGGGGTGGGCTGGGAGGCAGTTTGGCTCGAGAACTAGTGTATTATTATTATTATTTATTATTGTTATTATTACATTGTTGTTGTCTTACTTTTCTGTCCTATTAAACTGCCTTTTCAACCCACAAGTTCTACTTTTTTTTTTTTTTTCCTTTTTGATTCCCTCCCCCATCCTGTTGGGGTGGGGGGGAGTGAGCCAACACTGTGTAGTTGTTTTAGCTGCCAGTCAGGTTAAACCATGACAACTGTCAAAGTAGGCATTGAATACAGGAAGGGATTTATTTTATTTTATTTTTCTTGTTCTTGGGATCTTCTATTATGTTACTGTCATATTGGTTGAGGGATTTATTTTTTAAACAATAATTAATTTGGTTCGATATTGTCTATATGAAAGAATGAGAAAAAATCAATGAGCTGTTATCCCAGCTTATAATGTAAGTAACTAAGACCAAGAGTGAAAGCCAAGATTGCCGGCCAGTTTTGGACACTCTATTTAAGAAAACTTTTCCTCAAATTTGTGGGGTTTAGTGCTTTACATCAGTTGTGTTTGGGGTGGTATGGTCATTAACTTTGAATAGAGTCAAAACCAGCATTTCTGCAGAGAACGAGGCTACATATATTTCGTTTAAACACTCAGAAATGAAGAGTAACTTGGCCATGAATGAAAATGTTGATTTCTGCGACTTTCCCAGCATAATCCAAGAACTCTGTCAGAGATAGAACAGTCCAAACTGAGCATGGGCAGTCAGGACCAGTACTGGTGAAATTCTCCATTTATGGCCAGATCAGAATGGTCTTTCAGCAATCACACTGTGCAGATGGCAACATAATGTCTTACTTATCCTTTCCAATTCTTTAGAAATTTCAAACTTTATTTCTAGGTGTATCTTCTGAACAGACATCCAGACTTTCTACCTTAGAAATAATTATTCCTCGAAGTCTGACAGGCAGAGAGAAACATCACCCATTTTTTCATGAGGTTTGTTATTCTGATTTTTTTTCTTCTGATGTTGCTGTTTTTCACAATACTGTCCTATATTACACATACAATGTATGGTAAATATCGATTATTTTTGCGAAGAAATGTACCCTGCACTATCTTGTCAGATTCTTAGTGTTTTCAACTAGTTTTGAGTAAATTTGTTGCCACAAAGGTCTGCGATTTCACTCTAAGTTGGCACCTTTAAACTTCTAGTCCTGTTAACAGCCTTGTAAGACAGAAGTAGGAAGGAGCATGAAGAATATTTCCATTTCCTCCAAGTCAGATTAGATGTTGAACTCGAACAAACATCCATGCTATGTTCTTTTGCTCATCGTACCCGGTCTTTGGATAACCAGAGGATTTCAAGGGCTGATGCTCAGTTTGTACAAATGGTCCCACAGAGTCACACAGGTTCAATGGATCAGTTAAAAGAGAAAGACCTGGGCCTTAATTCTTCAGTTCTGAGGTAACTTAACTTTGTTCCAGATATCAAGTTCCATTAATGAAGTAACTGTTAATGAAACAGCATTAATCATCTGTGTGCAAACCGATTAAGGAAGAAAGAATCCGTGAGTTGTTCATCCGGCTCCCAATGATTTACATAAGGAGTGTCACGAAACATGATGTGGTAGTTGGGCAAAGAGTGCAAATGTGGGCTGTGCCCTTTGTGGGGAACCAAGTCTGGCCATCTTCATCCAAGCTGCATCACCTCCTCTCCCCTTGCGTCTGAGTACCATCTGTTCCTGAGCCTATAGAACCACAGCGTGGTAGTCTGGGTTTAGCTGTACTAACACTCGGGTTTTTTGTTCTTTTAATAGCACAAGTTTTACATTTTCTTTTTTCTGTAGACTACATATTTTACATTCCCCTTGACAAATCTCTAATGGCAGACATATTTCATTTCTTGTGTAGTTTGTGTACTTTTTCATTCTGTCTTCTACATGAAAATTTATAGCTTAGTAGAATTTAAACTTTCCATAGGAAAGAATGTAGAGTGTGCTGCTGAGACTTTGAAAGACATGAGGGTTAGGAACGTGTACTTTGTAAATCTGGTAAATACTTAAGACATACATAGTAGTTGGACTTCTCTTGTCAAAGAAAACATGGAACTGACATAGCCAAGTAGAAAATCACCTAATTAAGTGATATCTTTTGTTCTGTTTTCAGGAGCATTCAGATGACAATCTTTCTTACTCAATTAAAACCAGAAATGGAACATACCTCCTAAAACTGAAGAAAAATAAGTATGTGATAGGGTGTTCTAAGAAATCATTCCATCTTGGGATTTAGTTGCATACAGTATGCAGAGTATAAAAATACAGACAGAAAAAATTCAGAAGAAACCATTTAAATGGCAGATTGTAGTAATTACAAAATGACTCTGTTAAATACGGTCTCTGTTATGGTACTAGCTTGCAAATAAAAGGGAATAATATTTTTTCTAGTTGTACAGAAATTTAATTTTATTATTTTTTTATTATCACAAGATAGTGGATTTCAGAAAAACCTTATGGAAAATTAGAATTCAGTTTGAAATTAGTTCTTTATTAGCAGGCAGGGGAGGGTTGTTAGCAGTGTTGTACTTGAAGAAATTTGTCTATGACTGTTGTTCCTCATTCCTGAGCCTGTAATAGTCCATGCCCTGATGCAACATAGTCTGTTCAGATCCTACTCTATGGGTATTTAAGTTAAAATATTTTGAAATAACTTATTTTCCAAATAATGCAGCTCATTTTTGAGGTATTTTGTTTCATGTCCGTGGATTTTAGTAATAATTGAGCATGAGTGTGCTTCTAACAATGTAGTACTTAGTAGGATTCTTGACTTATTTCTTGCTTTCTAGACTGTTAAAAAGAGCAGTAGTTTATTTTTGTTTCCAGAAAGCTTGTTAGCGAAGACTTTATGCTATATATATATGGGGAAAACGGGAAACTGGAGGCAACACAATCAAAACCCAAGGTATTGTACATAATAAAATTCCCCTTTTGTGTAAGAGTTTCTTCAAACCAGACAAGCCAAGCTTTATGAATTGAAGCCATACTAACAATTTGGTAGAACTGAGGATGACAACAAGGATGTGTATGTATCTATTTTCAAAGCAAAAGTGAATGCACAACCATTAATTCCGAGTGTCTTCGTATCTCTATAATAGGACAGTGAAAACTGATTACATTTTTGGCAGTGGAGAGGAAACTGCAAGTGATGCACATCAAGTATCTACAGAAGAGAAATACATTTGCTTGGAAAGAGGCTTTTGTGAATTTTTGCAATTGTAGCATTTCTGTTTAACAGGTGCCACTGATACAAAATGTAAGGTTCTATGTCTTATGAGGGATTGGGCTGTTTGTGGTGATACAGCATCACTGGTCTCCAAGGTGTGAAAGGAGATGCCAGGAGATTATGCCAAGACTGAATTTAAGCTACTTCATAAGGTCACCTTTGCATAGTATGCAATTAAAGGTACAATGGCAGCATCAAAGCTCGATAGCTTTGAGGTCCTGAATCAAACAAGCCCTACAAATGCTTTTGCATTAAATTTCAACTTTCAACTGCACATGAGCTCAGTGAGAATTGATTGGGTGCTTTATGCTTCCACCTTTGAGAGGAGTCTCTTTAAGAACAGGATGAGCAATGCCGATAAAAAGATTTTGCTAAAAGATGGTGATGGGTTAAACTAAGAATCTGGTTGTTTTCTAGAACCAAGGGACCAGATGCTATTGTGCTTACTCATGTCAAGCAATATTTTACTCCCAAGGAGGCCGCGTTTACTTTTAGAACAGGGAACTCTGTAAATTTGCAAAAGCCAACCATAATGTCATGCAAATAATAAGGTTGGTTACAAAACAAGTTTGCATTTGAAGGCAATAACTTTATTTTGCCATTAATTGTGTGGTTTTGTTGCATTTCAGACAGACTGTTATTATCATGGCACAGCTGAAGGAATTGCTGACTCAATGCTTGCTCTTAGCACATGCGATGGCCTTAGGTATTACCTCTTGCTTTTTACTTCGGGATAATTAATTGTGCAGTACCAAAGTAAAACAGTAAAAATCAGCTGCTATTCATCATACAACTGGAGAGAAAACACTATCCTATCTTGCTTTTTTTTTTATATTTCACCTTTTGATGAAACTGAAACTCTTTACAGGTTTTATACTTTCCATAACTACCACTTTTTATTCCTTTTCCAAAATTCCTTCACTGAAACAAGATAACATGAGAGCATCATCTAAATATAGGCAGAACATGGGCATGAACTGAGGCCTCTATTACTTGATGAGCATATCTTGACCAGAGGTACATTTGTAGAAGAAATGCTCTCTGATTAAGTTTTTGCTGAACTTCACACACTCCTGCACACAATTCTGTTTTGTGGATGGGCATGTTTCAAAAGAAAAAACAATTCTGTGGAAAAAGTTTTGACCAAATTTGAAACATTTTTTTGTGTTTCAACACAAGAAAATTACATTTTTCTAAGAAACATAAAGGGGCCAGATTAATGCATAAAAGATGGTGGTGTTCTCCCTGCAGAATCAGTCCATGTGAGTTGGCAAGATGAGACAGCATGTTCACTAAGCAGAACAGATATTTCGACTGTTCTGCAAACTTATGCAGACTCAAATCCTCTGGCTACCTTGTGCACACATTTTTGAGGAACTTCCTTCGCAAGATATTAACTAGAGAATTCTTGTTCTAAATGTAGTTTGGAGATTCTGGAGAACAAGATAATAGCTTCTGAAAGATTGTGGTACAGCAAATGGGCATGTACCAGGTGTTTCTGAGCCATGGACAGATGCAAGATCTTTATACTTAGCTGCACTCAGCAGTTGATACTACTGTTGCCTTTATAAACACCCTGGTGATTGCTTTTAGCCTCTCTTTCTGTCTTAGAAGATATCTTTTTCTAAAATGCTGGATTACTTTAGCTGCATGGGGCTAGGAGTGAGACTAAAGATAAGGACTAAAAGAGACCATCTGCATCAGCTCTGTACCCACATTCCAGACTCATTTAGTAACAATTTGGCTTTCCTGCTAACTGATTCAAGGAGCCCACACTTGTGTACTATCAAGTATTTCAAAGATGTTCTGTTTTGTCTTTTGAGATCCTGTTGGGCATTTGAGTTTACCCCCTATATTAAGATAATTTAAGATAATAATTTATTTCAACATAGTGGTATGAACAGTTCTAGTTTTTAAACATCCAGCTGTCATTCACTCACCTAGTCATAACCACAAGGGAAAAATTGTGGAATAATTTTTCATTCTTTTATGATTATTAGAGGAATCCTCTACATTAGTGGCAAATGGTATGGAATGGAACCGCTCAACACATCCAGCACATTTGAACACGTGTTTTACCAGTTGGAAGATATGCAGGATACCCCCTTCAGATGTGGTGTGCTGAATGGCACATCTCATCATGAGAAGATGTTTGTGAAGCAGTCTGTGAAATACACATTTTTATCGAACAGTACCTCTACCAGGGAAAAGCTTTTGAGGGTAAATACCTTTCTGTTTCTCTCTTGAGAGCTCCAGTCCAAGCCATCTCCTTAGTGTGTTCCAGCAGCCAAGGGTCTCCAGAACTCTTGCTTTGGCATGGTATCACTGCAGGTGGCTTTGGCCTGGCAGGCCACTTGTTGCCTTCATTTTCATGGACCCCAAAACTGGTGGGAGTACTGCTAAGGAAATCCTGAAACAGAAGAAGAGCAGAATGGGAATTTAACATAGCTTGAAGCAATCCTTTAGCAGAAAAGCAGAGCTCTGCCCAAGACAGGCATGGGTATGACATGAAAGGCATGAAGCTGCCATTCAGCCCAGGCATCTCACTGAGCAGATGTGAATTACTGACATACAGATATTTATGTGGAAATCTAAGGCAAATTGGCTTTTGAGGCCACATTAAAAATACATTATTGCTTTATAAATCCATGAAATGAAAATCATGAAAACATAAGTAAAAAACCCTCATTACATTAACTTATTGTGCTTTCTAATTTGCAGAAGAAGCGAGCTGTCCTGCCACAGAAAAGCTATGTGGAATTATTTGTGGTTGTGGATAACAACAGGGTAATGATTTCATCCAATGCTACAAACATTTTATCAAACCATTAAATTTTTTTCTCTGATATTCTCATATGATATTTTACAGTTTTTGCTGAAGAACTCTGATCCTGCTGCAGTGCAAAAGGAAACAGTTGAGCTGATTAATTATGTTGATGGGGTAGGTCAGATAAGTTGCTGAGATTCAGTAGTTTCTACTTCATCATAGTTTTCAAAAGAACAGGTAATGCAGTAAATCTGAACAATTATTTTCTGAAACTGTATTTGGAAGTTACACAGCAATTTGTAACACATTTAAGGTACCTCATGAATCTACACAGAAGTCTTGTAGAGGTGTAGACAGAGGGAGAGATGCAAGATGTTGTTAAACCACTTCTCTGTGCTCCCAGACTTTGAATGCTCCAGCGTATGTAGTTCTTTTTTATTGAGCAAACTGTCAGTACTGTGAACAATTCCCCAATTTCTCCTCAAGAAAATTAGCTAAGTAAATGGTGTTTCCAACTTCCCCAACTGAAAGATATGTTTAGGTACCTTCAGGAAGAAGATAGATAGTCTCCAGTCATATAGTCTTTCCTCACGTCAAACTGTTAATTATTGAAAGAAAATAAAGTTATATCTCAGTCACTATGTTCCGTTTAATGTTTACTCTGTAGTAGTGATGTAATCTTTCATAATTCAGTTGAAACAGACTGATGGACATTAATTATCATTATATTATTTTCAGATGTATAGAGCATTAAACATCCAGATTGTTTTGGTTGGATTAGAAATCTGGTCAGATACAAACCACATATCTGTAATGGACGGTTCAGCCGGAGATGTACTGAGTAGATTTGTTTCTTGGAGACAGAAATATCTTCTTACACGATCACGGAATGATGTTAGCCATCTCATCATGTAAGTGTTTGTTCAGTGGAAAAACTAATCATGCTGCCAGTGTTGTTCATGTATATGATTTTGCGTTTTGTTTGTGTATGAATGAAAATATAACTAGAGTAAACTTCACTCAGCATCCAAACTGTTTTAACCTGGAAAAATGTCAAGAAACTGTAATGAATACTTTATAGGTAGTCAACTCCAGGTGGCTGTGCTTCAGCAGGGGGGGTTGGACCAGATGACCTCCAGAGGTCCCTTCCTGACACAGCAGATTTAGGTGATTCGTCATTATTTTCAAGCTCTGTTATTCTGATGTTCATTATTTATTACAGTGAAACCCTGATATGATGATAAATTTCTTCTTGACTTCAAGAAGACCAAATCTTCACTTGCAGTATTTGTTTCAGACTCATCAGTGTTTTTTAGTAGAAATCATGAACTTTCAGCCCTTCTTTCAACACCACCTACAAACTGCTTTTGTTGCAGAGGGAGAAGCTCTTACGGTGGATCTATTGGAATGGCTTTTGTGGGTACTGTCTGCTCCCAAGTCCAGGGAGGGTCAATCAGCACTGTAAGTACATAATGTTGTGGTTAACAGAAGAACCTAGCGCAGGAGTTGCTAAACTATCATAGATGTGCTGCTAGTGAGACCAGGAAGTACCTGAACAGGCTTTCCCCTGCGCATTTACACAACCCAGAGTCATAGATACTGCTATTACCAGCCATTGTTTCTACAGAGGTACCTTCCAGAACATCCTAACAAATAATATGCACTTTGCTGACCTATTTGGTCAAGTCACTCAGGTCTCAGAGTAAAGATTTAAAGACTTGTGCATATTTTTACACTTGTATTTTAAAAAAAAAAAAGTTTTTTCCAATTTCTCTCTTTGTCACATTCCAGTCCATTTGGCTGATTTTTGAATAATTTTTTTATCACCTTGTTTGTAATTCAGCTAGCTGAAGGTTGTATAAGAAAAGCCCATTCTTGTACCGTTAAGGTTCATAACCAGAGTGGTTTTGGGATGGAATGCAGCTACAAAATAATGTGGATTTTTTTGACTCCTTACATGGATAGACAGTGAACATAGTGCACTCTATTCTCAAGTGTCTGGAATTCTCCACAATGCAGCTGTAAACAGGCAAGATTTTTAAATTTGGCAAAATTAGCCAGAAACTAGCTTTTTCTCCTTCACCCTTGGGACAGCACCAGTATCTCCAGAGGTTCCTGTCTTTACAATAGGGATGCCACAACATCATGGACAATCTTAGAGGCAGATTCTGTTCTTCAACTGTCTTTGTCTTTCTGTCATTGAAGACTCCATTGAAATCAGTGCCATGACTGATTAACTGTGTTATTATTCAGAATATGATCCCAATGGAAGGAATAAAAGAGTGGCAGAATCTGGCCCTACTGGAAAAAAACCACCCAGTGACAAATTGACTGCTCTTGTTGCTTTTGCTTTGCAATGCAATTTAGCATTCTGTCTTCATAGCCTCCGAGAGCTTTGTGGCTTGAATAAATCAGTGGTTAGAAACACAGTATTTTCTTTAGTTTCATAATTTTTTAACACTGATTCTCTTTATTAGTTGAATCATAACAATATGTTACGTCATGCTACAGTAGTTGCACATGAATTGGGGCATAATCTCGGAATGAAACACGACGATAAAAGGTGTCCTGCATCCTATATTATGCACAGCACAGATAAGTAAGATTTCCAGTTATTTTATTTTAATACTTGTTATTTATCTGCAGTGATGCAGTTATCTCTTGGCCTATGTTTCTTTCAGTTCATTTGTTCTTCGGCTTCCCCTTAAGAGAAAAGCTCATATTATTTTATCTATCCATATTTGTATTAGTAACTCAGGGTAATTGAACGTTGGACAAAACTACTGTAAGAAGATGCATTCCTGAGTTCTTAGGGACTACAAGTTAAGGTGAATGTCTTTATGGAAAGTAATTTTTAATCAAGCATTTTTAGACTCAGTACAGACAAGGAATTTCTAAGGCCTGTTTTATAGAGGACACCAGAATGGATAATCTGATGGTCTCTGCCTTCTGAAAGTACTTGCATATATGTTATACACAGTATTTTTAACTTCTAGTATTGTGCTCTAATGCAAAATAAATTAAGTGTCTTGTCATCTCCTAACTTTATGAAACATGGAATTTATTATGGATTGACAGTATTTTAAGAGCTTGAGCTGTATTTTTTCCTGTGAGAAAACATATATAATTTTTTAAAAATACTGTGCTTTCCAGTGGATCCAGGAATTTCAGCACCTGCAGTGCTGATGATTTTGAGAACCTTATTCTAAATGGAGGAGGAAACTGCCTTAGAAATCCTCCCAAAACAAGTAATGTTTACAAAGAACCTGTCTGTGGTAATAACGTGGTCGATAACAATGAAGAATGTGACTGTGGCAAACCGCAGGTAATGAATGAAATTCAACTGGATACTTTTTGTTATATTATAGTATATTAGTTGTATAATACTGGCCTTTGGTATACCTGATTTGCATTAATATCTGAGGAGCTTGCCTTGCAAAGGTACATTTTTGCAAGCAATATGAAGATAAACTTTAGAAAAAGCCTAAAATCATACTTTGATTTTGGTATGAACTCAGTTAAGGGCTACTGGACTTCACTGAACTTTGAGCTAAAGCTTAAAAGAGAAGTGCATTTCAGTGCAGAGTATGTGGAAATGCCACTGGTTTTGGTGCTAATTTTAGCAACATGGATATTTCTGTTACATAAAAGAGATTACTCATCTATAGAGTACTTACCGGTTTACTAATTGTAACTCTTATGCTTAGCCCACAACAAAATTACTTTTGTTGATGATATCTGCATTGTCAAAATGCCCCTCAAAGAATGGGATGTATTGACTCATTCTTTAGAAAATAAAAGTGTCTTGAAAAAGACACCAATAAATGGAAAGGCTGTCAGCAAACCCTGGTTCCATTGTATTGGCCTTCTAAGTCATGAGAAGATACCAACACTTCTCGACATCAAACTGCTAATGTAGCGGAAAAATAAGGTAGGGGAAGGGGTGGTAAGAAGTGTTAACTAAACACCAAAGTGTTTTGCTTCTTTTAGTGTCCATTTAAAGGGTAAATCTGTGCTATACTCCTGTGCCATCACACATCAAAACAGATGTTTTTCTGATGACTTGTAGTAAAAAACACAGCCAAACTGTATGCTGGTTTCTGTTAGAGCAGAAGGCTGTCCATCTCAGAACATGCAAGAGAGAGTGTATTTAAAGTTTTGTTTGTTCGTGCACTTGGTTTGATGATGTACTTTCCTAGCTATGTAGCAAGGTAAAACACTGTGTCCCCTTGTCCGTGGCTGTTCTTCAGGAATGTACTAATCCTTGTTGCGATGCTGCAACCTGCAAACTCACACCTGGATCTCAATGCGCCCAAGGACTATGCTGCAAAAATTGCAAGGTGGGTTATGCTTTATTAAGCTACATTGATACTAATTACTAGTATTTTTTGATGTTTAAAAAGAGTTACCATAGTACTGTTGACATATTTTCACGTTATCAGACTACATTCACCAGTAGAGAAGAGAGCACGTAAGCAGAGAATTTGTGTCTACAATTCTTGGCCAGTAGCTCAGAAATGGAATGTCATCTCTGTGTCATCCCTCATAGGAGGCAGGAGCAACCAGGGACTCAGAAGTATAGTGATCTCCATTAAGCAACACCAAGCTTCTCCAAAGTCTCTCATAGTTGGCTCCTTTTAATTTGTACTTATGTATGCGTTCATACAATCTACCCTAGTCCTCTGCAGGCTCAGCTCATAAACTTCATAGCTAAAGCATATGAAGCTGAGGGAAGTTTTGGATATTCGTTAGGTATTGATCTGAAAAACTATTTTGTCTTTCTTAAAATCACAAAAGGTTCTCAGTTGTCATTGCTTCATGTTGGAACTTCCGCTGTTGCAAACTGAAAGTAAGGTGGCATTCCTCTCTGGTTCTAGTTTAAGGTGGCAGGAGCAGAGTGCAGATCGAAAATGGATTTCTGTGATCTACCTGAATACTGCAATGGAAGCAATGCCTACTGTCCAGATGACGTTTATATCATGAATGGTTACCCATGTGACAACATGAAGGCATATTGCTACTATGGAGTATGCCAGAGTTTTGATTCACAGTGTGAAGCTATATATGGAAAAGGTATGTTTATAGGTTAATGTAAAAAGACTTGTAGTCTCCTAATAGACATTTCTGGTTTTTCTTTTTCTTTCTCATATTTTTAAGACAGGGTAGTGGCTTACTAAGATTCACTATGTTTTGTACAGGGGCACGAAAAGCACCTGATGTGTGCTTTGAAAAAGCGAATATTAAAGGAGATAGGTTTGGAAACTGTGGAATGAAAGGTGGAGTGTACAAGAAATGTCCTGTTCAGTAAGTCACCAGCAAATAAAAGCTATCCCTAAAATCTTCAATGTAAAAAACATATTCTGTTACATGCTCTTACAGCATGAGATTTAAAAGAATATTTCCTTGAAATGCAAGCTAAAAAGTTTGACTGGATGGTGTATTTGCACTGATACCGGTTGTTTTTCTGTTCACCTTGTCTCTGAGTGTCATTCGTTCAATACAGGCACAGTCTGTGCGGCAAGCTCCAGTGCACATCTGTTAGTCTTCAAAATCTTCCTGCTTGGAGTGTGGTCAATAACGCATCTGGGGTTTTATGCTGGTCTTCTGACTTTGACTTAGGATCAGATGTCCCTGATCCTGCTCAAGTTCATGACGGAACAGCCTGTGGAGAAAATAAAGTAAGATGAATCACAGCAGCATTACAGTGAAGTTTGTAATTTTCAAAAGCATGACATAACTCTTTTATTTGTATGCCATAATATAATAAAAAAATCTGCTTTTTGAGATAAACGCATACAAACAATGAATTAGCTCTCCAAAAACTGGGATGCTACAAATCAGTGAACTACATTGTCAGTTATTCAAATTACTCCATCAAAATGCATCCACAGACTTAGGAAAATCTGAGACAAATACAGCTATAAAATTGCGAAGTACTGAATGTTTTATCAGCCCTTTTTCATGGCAATTAAGTAAAAGCTGTAAACTTGTAAATATATACATTTATACAAAATATTTATAAAAGAATGGGATTTTTTGAAGTTTTGTGTTTGAAACACACTAATGACTTTTTCCAGGCCTGTGTAGGTTTTGAATGTGTTAATGCAAGTCATCTGGGCTACAGCTGTGATGCGAAGCAGAAGTGTAATGATAATGGGGTAAGTAGATGGTGTTTTCATGCCTTGTTTCTAGAAGACAGAGATAGGTGCAAAATCCCTGCGTAAAAGCAATAACCAGCCAGATGGTTTTGTTTTTTCTGACTGGTATTAAAAGTGAAGTCCACCTTTTTATCTGTAATTCATGTTGTAAACCTCTTAGCACAAATACTGAAGGACATTTCTTCTGAATTTCCCTAGGGAATTTTCTAATATTACTGAGCTGTTGAATTGTAAAAGGAAAACATTCCTTTAAGGAGGACAGTCTACTCATTCCTGATTTATGTATATCTCTCTGAAAAATCAAAACGGAGTCCAAAGGTTGTAAAACTGAGTTCTTTGGAGTGTTATCTATTGCAGGCGAATCACAAAACAAAGGTTAACTTCTACAGGGGATTAACTTCTGGTATCAGTATCACTCAGTGTTTTGGGGTTACAGAGGGGGATTGCTTATTCCCAAGCAATACTATGCAATACTTCTTGTTTCCACACGCAATTCTTAATGTTTAACTCCAAATATATACTGGAGGTTGAAAAACGGACGCTTCACGAAGGGCATTGTTCGTTTGACTGCTCCCTGTTGTATTGACTGTAGGTGTGTAACAACAACGGCAACTGCCACTGCAATTCCGGATGGGCACCTCCGTTCTGTAACCAGTCAGGCTACGGTGGCAGCGTTGACAGTGGTCCAGCTCACACAGGTGAGATACTGAAACCGGCCTTCATCCTGCCCCCAGTGCCCGATAAAATAGGGGCAGTCTCTTTTCAACTAAAGGGGCGGGGGGACAGTCTCCTTTCAGCTGTTTTTTTCCTGCTGCATGGGCCACTTTATCATGGACTGACTTGAAGAACAAACATTATTATCTGATGTGTAGGTTTGCAGACATCAGGGAAGTTGGTCCAAGGGAGAATTTAACCTCTATTTTGCCTGAGATAAAAAGCAATACATTAAATTACTGAAATTAAAAGTAATACATAAGCTACTGTTACATTTTAAAATAGTTAGATATTTAGTATCTACTTAGGTATTTAAAACAGAGTTCTGATAGAACGGATGTGATAGAGGAAGACTATAGCTTGAGAATGAAACCAGCAGCCTTTATATACGGAAAGGGTCTCACAGAAATGAGAGGGGTTGAGGAGGTGCATGCAGCAAGCAGCAGTTGACTCATGTAAGAGCCACGGAATTCTGCAAAGGGAACATAGAGTAGACTTCACTGGCCTTCACACTGAGAGACCACGCACATGCTTTGTATTTATTAATAGCTTAGGAAGATAAGACGTGCAGATCAACTGTGGGTAAGCAAATACAAAATGAATTTGTCTGCTTTGGAATTTTTGAAAAATTACAGGGAAAAGGAAAAAGTTTGTATATCATACAACATGGGGTGGGTAAGGCAGAAAGAACTTGTGATAATGTAAGGCCAAATCCTACTTTTCTGATCATAGCAGTCTATAAATTTCAGTGGAGTTACTAGTTTTAATCGATAATAATGTGAAGATTGTATTTTTTACAACACAAAGGTGTTTTTAGCAGAAAAAATGCTTTAATATGAGGTTAAACAAGATTACTATCTTACATAATTTTCAATTCTTTTTTTCTAGATACATCACTTCGGGATGGTCTGCTTATTTTTTTCTTCGTTGCGTTGCCAGCAGTAATTGTTACTGTATTAGCAGTAATTAAGAATGATGCAATAAAAAGAAAGCTTTGCAGGAAAAGTAGAAGACAACACAGGTATTTTACTTACTAGAAATGCTTATTACAACACCTGAGAGCATGCTGCAGGTTAATTTAGCAAGCCAGATAGACTATTTATCTATACAAAGAATTCCATACCTCCTAAAAGAAAAGACTTCCCTGCTATTAGTAGTAGTAGGTAGTTTAATAGCCGGTACCCTGCTATTAGGTGGTTTAATCCAGATACTCCAGTTGTCAGTTCTCAAGCATTTTTTTCCCAAAATACATTGCACTTCCCTAACTGATATTGATAATTATGTTGCATGGACGGAGGAGCAGAGCACATTGAAATTATTTGCCAATGCCAGAAAGGGGTGGAGTCAGGAACAGAATCCAGATCTGATGGTAATTAAACCAAATGGGGATTTGCCTGATGACGTGGGTTTTATTTCAGGGATAACAATGTGCAGCAATCAAAGCAAAATAACAGACCAAGTGACAACACAAGAAATAATCAGGTAAGATAGATGCATACTTGCGTTATTTCATGTTGAGTAATCAAAATTATACAGTGCCTTTTCTCTAATGTAGTTACTGATAACATTGGGGCTTTTTTGAAACCGTCTGAATTTCCAAGTATTTAAAATAATTTATAATGTGTTAGACAGGAGTTCTCTCTGGGTAAGTTTGAGCTTTACTGGCTGCCCTGTCAACACAGGCTGTGAGTAGTATGGGATGGAACAGGCTGCTACTTAGCAGAGCTGCCAAAGATTGAACTCTGAATTCTGTGGCCAAATACCAGAGAAGCTGCTTAGCCAGGCTGTAGATCTAGTTCTGATAAAACAAACTTAACTATCAAAACAAAATGTTGCAAGAGAATATGAAGAATGTCACAGGAAATGAAAATTAGTTCTAAAATGCCACTAGCTTAATACTGAATAATTAGCCACAATTTGAAATCTGGGTGTTTTGTTACCTTGATATTCTGTGATAACTTTTCCAGCCTGCCATGTCAAGTCCTGATTCTTTTACCATATCGCATCTCCCTGGCCCAAGGTTTGTAGTATTTAAAACCTTCTTTACTTCACGTTTGCTATGTTTACATTGCTGTATCATTGTAAGTGAAGTTCCTAATGTCTTGTGTCCTGCCTAGGAGGATTTTTCATTCAGCATAATATGAGATAAAATAGATTACATGCTTGAAGGAGAAATGCTGTTTTACTGCTAGAAAACAGCCTAATGGGGCATGTAAATGCTACTAGGGAAAGGGAGAGGGAGAGGGAGGAGCAGAGAGAGTTAAATATATGTGTAAATGCTAGCAACTGTTTGATAAAAACTAGTTTAGAAATACCAGTTGTCTCAAGTCATGAAATACTTCACCAAATGTTTTCCACACTTCAGGCAGCCAGCACAAACCCAGTTTCCCGCAGTTCATTCAGGACCTCAGCGACCCACAGTCCCGCCTAGACCAGCTGTCTGAAAAGTTTCTGGGGAACCCTCAACCAACGCTGACAAGTAACTGATCTGAAAAAATTAAACATTGCAATCCTCCAGTCCTCTCACTGTGCAGCCAAAACACCTTCTGAAAGCACACGTACCTCTGGAAAAAACTTGATGCTAAGAGACACTGAACGGAGATTTTGTAATGTCCCATTAATTTGCTAACTGCTGCTGGCTGTATTTGTGCCTCTTCTACCTCACCTCTCGGGTTTTTTACATTGGAAGCCTGAAGTTCAACTCTTTGGTTAGATCAGAGAACAGGACTCTTGTGAAGTGCAGCCTTACTTGCAGGCCAAAGAGAAGTGAATTGTTATTTACAGACATAATTTATTCACCTCTCATCATATGCTGCTGTGAAAATGAGAACGTAGATGGACCTCCTGGGAAGTCTGCAGTCTGTCTACCTCCCAGACCCGCGTTCCTTGTCTGCAGCAAAGCCCTATCAAAGCTGGGATCCGGATCCCATCTCTCATTTCCTACTAGCTGCGCTAGTGTCCAGTTTGGGGAGTTTATAAAAGTAACCACATAGAGGGACACCAGCAATGGAAAGAAAACCTGTAGAAATGGAAAGAACCCCTTTGCTGACAAGCAAAAACAGACTCACTGGCAAGAACAAAGCTGTGGATACTGGGGAACCTGTACATCAGAGAGTAGATCACACACTGGCTGTGTTCGCACGCCAACTTTGGGAATAGGACATCAAAAAAAGAGGGAATAAATTACGGAATTGCCTTGCCACGAAAATACTTCTCATCCCTTAGATGGTCATTTCACAGAAGAGCTGGACAAAAGGACCCACAATCTGTCGCAGGCAAAAAACCTGCTTTGGCAAGGAGTGTCTTCCAAAGAAGTGTTGTCTTTCTTAATTCCTTGAATCTTAAATTGTTATTATCAATTAAATATTCCTCATTTGACCTTATTAACAAGCATATTACAATATAATTTAACATTAATTATGAATGTCAGCATACTTAGCAGTATCTTGATTTTATGGCCATCAAAAACAACCCATCCCTGGGCACAGCCGGGATCACTCGGCCGTCTGACGCTTCTGGGTGCAATAAAATCCATTATTCAATTTATTATCAAGCTAAAATTGGGTGAAAGCCGTTGTTTCGG